ATAGACCATTTACTTGGGTACAGAGGTACTGCTGTCCTTTTCCATTTATTTACCCCATAGTTTTGAATTTTTTTTAAAAAAATTTATTTATTTATTAGATAGAGCTAGCATGAGTGGGGGGAGGGGCAGAGGGAGAAGTAGACTCCCGGCTGAGCAGGGAGCCCGATGTGGGGCTCAATCCCAGGACCCCGGGATCATGTCCTGAGCCCAAACCAAGAGTCAGACGCCCAACCGACTGAGCCACCCAGGCACCCCCATTGTGGCAATTTCTTAAAATAACACAAGTTTGGTGCATTGATTGACTCTTCCTTTCATGAATGATTTCTCCATAGCATGTGATGCTGCTCAATAGCATTTTACCCACAGTAGAACTTCTTTCACAATTAGAGTCAATCCTCTCAAACCCTGCTACTGCTTTATCAACTAAGTTTATGTAGTATTCTGACTTCTTTGCTGTCATTTCAATAATCTTCACAGCATCTTTACCGGAAGTCAGTTCCATCTCAAGAAACTACCTTCTTTGCTCATCCGTAAGAAGCAACTACTCATCCAGGAAAGTTTTATCATGAGATTGCAACAACTCATCTTCAGGCTCCGCTTCTTATTCTAGTTCTCTTGCTATTTCCACCACTTCTGCAGTGACTTCCTCCACTGAAGTCTTGAACCCCTCAAAGTCGTCCTTGAGAGTTGGAGTCAACTTCTCCCAAACTCCTGTTTATGTTGATATTTTACCCTCGTCCCATAATCATGAATGTTCTTTTCTTTTTTTAAGATTTACGTATTTGAGGGAGAGAGAGCGCAAGCGGGGGGAGTAGCAGAGGGAGAGGGGGAAAACGATTCCGTGCCAGGCCCAGAGCCCGATGCGGGGCTCCACGTGGACCTGGAGTCTCAGGACCCTGAGATCAGGACCTGAGCCGAAATCAAGAGTCGGACGCTCAACCAACTGAGCTACCCAAGTGCCCTGAATCACGAATGTTCTCTTCTTTAAAATTTATTTTTGTTTTTTTTTAAGATTTCATTTATTTGATAGAGCGAGAGCGCACAAGCAGGAGGAGCAGTAGAGGGAGAGGGAGAAGCATGCTCTCCACTGAGCAGGGAGCCCGATGCGGGGCTCAATCCCAGCACCCTGGGATCATGACCAGAGCTGAGGGCAGACGGTTAACCAACTGAGCCACCTAGGTGCCCCAAGAATGTTCTTGATGGCATCTAGCATGGTGATTCCATTCCAAATTCAGTTTACTTGGCTCAGATCCATCAGAGGAATCACTATCTATGGGAGCCCTACAAAATATATTTCTCAAATAATAAGACTTGAAAGCCAAAATCACTCCTTGATCCATGGGCTGCAGAGTTATGTTGTGTTAGCAGGCATAAAAACCACATTAATCTCATTGAACATCTCCATCAGAGCTCTTGGGTGACCAGGTGCATTGTCAATGAGCAGTAATATTTTGAAAGCAATCTTTTTTTCTGAGCAGTAAGTCCCAACAGTGGACTTAAAATATTCAATACACTGGGGCACCTGGGTGGCTCAGTCGTTAAGCGTCTGCCTTCGGCTCAGGTCATGATCCCAGGGTCCTGGGATCGAGCCCCTCATTGGGCTTCCTGCCCGGCGGGAAGCCTGCTTCTCCCTCTCCCACTCCCCCTGCTTGTGTTCCCTCTCTCGCTGTGTCTCTCTGTCAAATAAATAAATTAAATCTTAAAAAAAAAAAAAGCCTTTACAAAGGAGCTTAAGAGAATGAGTCACATCTTACATTGGTTCTACCCCCAGAGTACACCGCTCCTCATTTCTGACCTTGACTCCTACAGTATCTGACCCTCTAAGATTCCTCGTCCCAGTCTCCTCTTCCCTTTCATTCTTGTTCCATTCTACCTGCAGAGTTCCTTTTAAAATGTGGCTCTGATCATGTCATTGTCCTGCTCAAGAGCATTTGATGGTCTCCCATTTCTTTCGGGACAGAGTCTGGATCCAGAATAGCATGCCTCATCTCGGCAAGTCTTTTGCAGCTTCAACTGCCTTATTTTACACTGTTGCCCTCCCCGACTTTTTTTTTTTTTTTAAGATTTTATTATTATTATTTTAAGTAATCCATACACCAATGTGAGGCTCGAACTTACAACCCTGAAATTAAGAGCTGAATGCTCTACTGACGGAGCCAGCCATGTGCCCCAGCCCCTCAGACTATTTTGATTCACCCTCACAGAGCAGGCCTTTTCCTGCCACCAAACTGTCGATTATGACAGCCCCTGTGCTGGTGGGCTCTATCCAACTCCTATCTCATCAGCTCAGATAGACTTGCTTTTGTGACACAGTCTTTGTCACTCTTGGAACCTCAAACCACAAGCAATCACTTTTCTAGCTGGGATTTGTTCATTCCCCTGATAAAGTGCCAGTCTTACAGTGTTACATCTGGTTTGTTCCTTTTCCCATTAGACTGTGAGCTCCTTGAAAGAATTGTCTTACTCACCTTTAGGTCCCAAAGGTGCATTTGTTACTATATCCAATTAATACATGTTTTCAGTGCCTCCTGTATGGTCGCCATTCTGGGCTTTGGGTGTTAATTGGGAGTGATTACTAAAGACTAGGCATAGGGAGGTGAATAAAGCAATATTAATAAGGGTCCCAGCACTTGCAGATCTACAGCGGTGCAGTATTAAGCACAAAGTAGCTGTTAATACTAACAATGTGCTGATCTGGTTCTTTCACTTTGCTGCCATTTTCAACTTCTTTGATGCCATAGGAAAGCTTCCTGTGGAATCCAAACAAGCTGAAGCCCAAGAAAGTTAGAGGATTCTTTTTTTTTTTTTTTTTTTTGAGATTTTACTTTTAAGTAACTCTACACCCAACATGGGGCTTGAACTTACACAACTTCGAGATCAAGAGTCACATGCTCTACCAACTGAGCCAGTCAGGCACCCCAAGTTAGATGATTCTTTAAGTCGCTCCGAGGAAAGCTTCAGCCAGAGCTGGAATCTGAGGTCTCCGGAGAGCAAGGGCCTGATGAGGAGTGCTAAGCCCAAGCCCTGGGGGCCCTCTGTAAGCCAGCAGAAAGAGAGGAGCCCTGGTGTCCCTATGGGAGAAGAGCAGGACTGCTGTCTGTTGAGTACGTATGTACCAGCCACTATGCTCTAGGGGGCTGATGGAGTTAACTTTGATGCCTCCTATTTCAGAGGAGACCAGGCTGATAGGGAATGGTAGCTAAAACAGCACCCAAGATTTTTAGGGCAGTGAAAAGTACTCTGTATGGTACCATAAATGTAGATGTATGACATTATGTATTTCCTAAAACCATAGAAGTATAGAATGCAAAGAATTAAACCCTAATGTAAACTAGGGACTGAGGTAATAATAATACATAACAAATAGTTTTAATATAATAAATTGTAACAAATGTACCACACTAATTAACATGTTAATACTGGAAATATTTTAATATTTGGGGACAGTATTTAATGCTCAATTTTCCTATAAACCTAAAACTACTCTACAAAATAAACTACTGGGACGCCTGGGTGGCTCAGTTGGTTGGGCAACTGCCTTCGGCTCGGGTCATGATCCCAGAGTCCCTGCTCAGCAGGGAGCCTGCTTCTCCATCTCCCTCTGCCTGCCGCTCCCCCTGTGTGTGTTCTCTTTCTCTCTCTCTCACTCTCTCAAATAAAATCTTAAAAAAAAAAAGCGTCTGCCTTCGGCTCAGGTCATGATCCCAGGGTCCTGGGATCGAGCCCCACTTCGGGCTCCTTGCTCAGCGGGGGAGCCTGCTTCTCCCTCTCCCTCTGCCACTCCCCCTGCTTGTGCTCTCTCTCAAATAAATAAAATCTTTTTTTAAAAAAAGAGTAAAAGGAATCTGCTTTTGCCGTCATCCTTCTCATTTTTCTCCTTGGTCCTGGAGACAAACTCATCACCATTTTTCCTCCCCCTACCATTTTTACAATTCTTTTGTCTCTCCCCTGTCACTCCCAAGGCACTAGTGTTGGAAATTGGAGAAATTTCAACCAAAAGCCATTTTCACATGGAGGGGGATGGTGATGCTGATGCCAACAAACTGGATGCGAGGATAGGCCCAGTTATTGATGGCGAACTCAAGTCAGATATGGGAGAATCTAACAGGGTCCAAAAACTTCCCTGAGCTGTACAGAAGGAGCAGAGCCTTGAGGTGCTCTGTGGTTTTAGAGTCCAGGAATTTCAGGCAGCAGTGTTGGATGCGTCTAGATCCAATTCTTCCCTCTCTCAATTTTAGGATTGTGTCCCAGTAGCTCCCTGAAGACTTAACTCCTCTTGTTCTAGAAAACGTTTTCCCCCCTGATTTCTTTTTGCTCCTTAGGGCCCCTCCTGGGACTGAGGGGAGTGAGTAAGATAGAAGGAACCTGGGATTTGTTCATTAGCCTAATGTCTTTGGCCGTCTGCCAGAGATAGGTTATAGCACCAGCGTGGAACCTGTATGGCAAAATGATGGGATTTCTGTACCAATTTTTAGGAGGCACCATACGCCATCATTCTCTATTTTCCAGACTACAGTTTCTCATCTAGACCCCTAGAAATAAGAAATGAAGGTCAATTCCTACACTGATACAGGCTTAGAAAGAGGTACTTTCAGGGTAATAAATGTGTTTAATTAGGATATTGCGCTGGTATAACAAGATAAAAACAAAAGTTGCTCTGATTTGATCTGACTTGCCAGTAGGTTCTATTTTCTCATTTTTCTTCCTGGTAAGTCCATTGAATAAGAACTGTTTTGGGGTCTCCTGCCCAGAAATAATTGGCATCCCTGCCTTTTGCCTCCCCGCTTCCCCAGAAGAGACTGAGGAATTTTTCCTGATCTAGGTTTAGGTCTAGAGAAATCCTTAGGGTGATAGGGATATGAGGCAGGAAAAACGGTAGCCACAAAGGGCAATGGCCCTTTTGTCAGCATGGGGCAAAGGTGAGGGGGGAAAGCCTGAGCCAGGAAGAGGTGGATAAATATTTGTGAATATTATGTCCTTCACTGTTTTCAGAAGGGCCAACTTTTTTTGGCTGGGGTGTAGAGAAAGTGAGCCCTAGGAAGCTGTCATTCAGATTAGAGAAGCACCGAGGAAGGGACGTGTGTGGACCATCTTGTTCCTCTGGCTTGTTTCCTTCTGGAGCAGGTGAGGACTGCCCACAGCTTGTAAGGGTGGGGGCGAAGCTATGTCCAGGCTACCTGAAGTTTCCAAGGGTAGAACCACTTCCTAGCTTTGACTAGTCTTGGTGTCTCTTTGGCCCAAGCCTTTCCCCACTTCCCACCCCAACCACTACTTCTTTCCTGTTTCCTGTGGGCTGTTCCTGCTGACCCACCATGATCTAGGCTGTGCTGCTCCTTTGCTGTGTCTTTTTGTTTTTTTAGATTTTATTTTTTTAAGTAATATCTACAGCTAACATAGGGCTCAAACTTAAAACCCCGAGATCCAGAGTCTCATGCTCTACTGACTGGGCCAGCCAGGTGCCCCTTTGCTGTGTTTTGCTGTTCCCATTGGCTGTCTTTCCAAGAAATGCCCAGAAAGGGGCCCTGAACTTCCAGCCATCTTTCACAAAAACTGGCCATCCTCTGAACACACTCTCCAGCCAGCTCCCTCTCCCAGATCCCAAGACCTGCCCAGATCTCTTGCACACTGCCTCCTCCTTAGCCCCTCTGCCTGACTACCTATCCAACTTGGCTCTGGGGGTGGCCCTGGAGGAAGCTGGCTGCCCAACTGAGGCCCACATTCTCAGCTTCAGCTTGTTAGGATGGGAGGAAAGGACATCACTGAAACTCCTCCATGAGAGGACAGCACAATGAGGAGGAAAGCACTGGCAATACTAAGGTCACTCTGAGGGATCTGGGGGGCCTGCGGGGAAGCTTGGATGAACCTACCACTCAGCTATTTACTCAGGAATGTATTGCTGGTGGCTAATACACACATTGGCGTGATTGGTCTACCAGCTATCTGCCATGTTGCTGGTGGCACAGTTCAAAGATGTTGCTGTCAATGTCCCCTAGAGCTGCAGGAATGCGTGTTGGGAGTGTGAGGAAGAATTAGGCAAAAAGCTGAAGCACCCTCCAAGTTAAGAACCTCTCAGTGTCTACGGATGATGACAATATAATTTATCAAAAGTTCCACAGTTATTTGGGAGTGCTTTAAGGAGAAGTTCATTTAGGAATTTGTCTAGGCTTACTTCAGATATTCAATGCCACCTAGGCAACAAGTATCTTTTCTCAGCACTATGTTTAAGGATGGGACATAGTAAGCAGTTAGAAATGTAAAAGACCAGGGGCGCCTGGGTGGCTCAGTCGGTTAAGCGTCTGCCTTTGGCTCAGGTAGTGATCCCAGGGTCCTGGGATCAAGTCCTACTTTGGGCTCCTTGCTCAGCGGGGAGTCTGCTTCTCCCTCTCCCCTGTTCCTGTGTTCTCTCTCTCTCAAATAAATAAAATATTAAAAAAGAAAGAAAGAAAGAAAAGTGTAAGACCACTCAGGACAGTTGTACTTTATTTCATGCCAGTGCTAAAACACACATGTGACTGGTGTTAGCCTTGACCCTCTCCCCTTAGTATTTCCCGGCCCCTAGTTCTTACTCCATTTTGCTTTTTTTTTTCTTTTCTTTCAGTCATCAAATACCGTGCATGTAATTAAGCATGAGAGGTAATTTAACCTTTTTCTCATTCATCCACCCTGTACTAAATCCCCAACTAGATGCTGTAGCTCACTAATTTAATTCTTAAACTGAAAAGAAATACAATAAGAGAGAATCATAGATATCTAATCTCTCCTGATTCTGGGTGTCCCAGCTCATAGCGTGAGCTAGAGTGGAAAAGTGACAGGGACGTGTCAGAAATGCCAAAGAACAGGGTCTTAGGTGTTGAGGTCAATGTGTGACAAGGGGACAAGGTTTGGGCAGCCAATACAAATGGACAAATATTTGCAGAGATTGCATCTCTTACTGATTATGGGGGAAAGCAAGTATCTCCTTTCTTCATGGGGCAGAGAAGTGGGCAGAACTGGATTGAGCAACCAAACCTATCAAGACAGTCTCGCTCCTCACATGAACTTTGTGGTAATTTGGGGCCCCGTATAAATGGGTGGAAATCAAGCAGAGGAAGTCTCTGGTGACTTGAAGATGGGGAAGGCCAAGTGGGAACAATCGGGCTGCATTTCCTGATACTTGGGCCTTTACCTAAAAATAACAGAAGTTTGGAGATGATGGATGGAGGTGTGCCCTGAGTCATGGGCTCCTTTCAGACCACAGCCCTTAAGGAAATGGTTTGCTATGTTTCTGGTTTGTCCCCTCTCCAGTGTATTCTGTTTCAGACATGTGTGACCTCAGATTCATCACGATACAAGTTGAGCTGCTTTTTTGCTACCTCCTGCTGCACCCTGTGGATGTCATTTCATATGGAAACCAGACAAATATTCCCTCATCCTTGAGATCCTGGCCACCTTCCTCAGACCCCTTGTCCTGCCAGATTCTGCTCCCAAAGTCCCTGCCTGGCTTCATCCACATGGCTCCTCTACCCAAGTTCCTGGTAGCCTTGCCACTGGTGATAGCCCTGGAGAAAGCTGGTTGCCAGGCTGATGTCTGGACCCTGCAACTTCAACTGTACCGCCAGGGGGGTGTAAAAGCTACACAGAAACTCATCCAACATCTTCAAGAGCTCCAGAAAAGCAGAAGCACAGGGAGGGCCGCTTCAGTGGATGCCCTGGCCTCTGCTCTACAGCTGTTGGCCAGGGAGCAACCAGGCCCAGAAAGGACCCGACGCTCCCTCCCTACCAATGACTGTGAGCCGGAGCAGGAGCACGGTGTGCACAATATAGTCAGGTTGTTTCCAGGAGTGGGAACCTACTACAATCTCGGCACAGCTTTGTATTATGCTGCTCTGAACTGTTCAGAGAAGGCCAAGGAACGAGGCCAAGATGGGGTCATAGATATGGGTTATGACCTTCTGATGACCATGGCAGGATTGTCTGGGGGACCCACAGGACTACTAATCAGCGCTGCACTTAAACCCGCAGTGAAGGCTGGTATTGAACAGTTGATCCAGTATTACTATGGGAAAGAGGCAAACACCGCTCTGCCAGAGATCAGCATGGAGGACTGGGGGGGCACCTAAGATGTGAGTGACCTGGAAGAAACAACTACCATGGCCCTTTGGTGTTAGTTCACCTCCCTGATTAGTTCAGGGCATATATAATGGCTATGACTTAGATCCTGGGAATGGCAGTCTTGGGATATAAAAGGTGGTGATCACAGAATGAATAAATCTAATATTTTGACAAGCTGTAATATGTGTATGTTCAAAATCCCAATCTCTGGTTTGTTATCAAGGAGGAAGGCAGTGCTATAAAATGCAGGAATTTTAAAGTTTGGGGTTTGGAGTCCGAGGATTTAGATCTGAATCCAGGCTCCACTTGTAAGAGCCTCAGTGATCACTGACCAGTAATCACTTTTACTCCAAGCTCAGTTTTTTAAAACCTCTAAAGTAGTGATAATCATTTTCATCTGCATGGGTTTTGTGGCAATTAAAAACGATACAATGAACCTCAAGTTCTTAGCAAGGTACCATCAATAAATATTTATGACTACAGCTCGTCCCTTCCTATCCCGAAGTGTCGAAATTCCGGTCCCACCTCTCACGGAGCTCTTAGCGCCTGCAACGTCCAGGGCCAGTCTCGGTTCCGCTCCTTCAGGGAGGGTTCTCGGAAATCAGCTGTTATAGCCCCGGGCTGTTCCATTAATCGAACTCCTCCCTCCGCGGACACGGGGCGGGGCGTAGTTGAGCTATCCCACCAATCGCTGGAGCTGGGGGTGTGCGGTTTCGGCTCCTCTTGTCCCGCCCCGCGGGGGGGGGCAGTTGTGGCGGCGCCAATGACTTGGGAAAGTATGGCTGAATGGCAGCCAGCGTCGGGGTTGCCAGGCAGCGAATGGCGAGCTCCCGAGTTCAGCCGTCCGCTCCAGACTGAGAGCTACAAGGGGGCGGATCCGAGGGGCGGGTCGAAGCCGAGGGCGGAGCGCGAGCGTCGGCGCTCGGGCTTTGCGGCCGGAAGCCTTGCCCTGAGCCGCTGGAGAGAGCGGGGATTGAGACCCTTACCAGGTACGGGCCCAGAGGGGGCGCGCGGGGGTCTGAGTGCAGGCGTGAGTTCCTACCCCGGAAAGGCGGCAGGCCCCGGAGGTACGCCCGGTAGTGGTAAAACTTCCTCCCCAGGTTGAAGTAGCTGTCTGCTGCTGCATAACCGAATCTCCCCAGCCAGCCCAGCTCTCCAGCCCTAACATCCATCTTCCCAAACTCCCCGGCAGCCTCCGATACCCTTAGCCAATGCTTTTACCCTCCTGTCTTAGTCTTAATTTTTTTTTTTAAAGATTTTATTTATTTACTTAAGAGAGAGAGAGGGAGAGAGAGAGAGAGAGAGGCAGAGGGAGAAGCAGGCTCCCAAGGAGCAGGGAGCCCGATGCGGGACTCGATCCCAGGACTCCGGGACCATGACCTGAGCCAAAGGCAGACGCTTAACCATCTGAGCCACCCAGGCGCCCTAGTCTTAATTTTGATCCTCACCAAAAAAACGATGTCTAAAGGTAGATAAGATTTCACTTCCTTCGTTGTTACGTTAAGAAATATAAGGGACAGAAAGGTGAAAAGATTTGCCTGTGGTCACATACAAATTGCAGTTCTTTTCCAAAAAGCTGATTGAGCACAAAATATATGCCGAAGAGAGTGAGGGATAGCTGGAATAAAACTTAAGTGTTACAGCCTTTAACCCTCGTGTTTGCGATCTATTTGGGAAGACCGTGGGTTTTTGTTGTTTTGTTTTTTCATATTTAAACCTCAGGGGTAACTTGCCATCTTGCTCTTTTAATACTAGCCTAGATTCGTTCCTTGAGAAGTGGGGCCTCTCCATTTGTGGGTTGTTTGGGTTTTTTAAAAGATTTTATTTATTTATTTGACAGAGACACAGCGAGAGAGGGAACACAAGCAGGGGGAGTGGGGGAGGGAGAAGCAGGCTTCCGGCGGAGCCGGGAGCCTGATGCGGGGCTCCATTCTAGGACTCTGGGATCATGACCTGAGCCGAAGGCAGACGCTTAACGACTGAGCCACCCAGGCGCCCCTCCATTTGTTTTTGTTTTTCCATTTGTTTTTTTAAAGCTGTACAGGTGCATAGTTTAAAAAGCCAAGCACTAGTAATAGGATTAAAATGAAAAATAGGAGCTCCCGACCAGTCCTTTCCTCCCTGTGTTTCTACTTCAAAGAGGTAGAAAAGCATCTCATGATTATTCATACTGGTGGAAGAGAATCTCTCCCACCCCAGACATTTTTCTTTCATTTGTAATAAGATCATGTGACCTTTTTAAGACCACAGATGTATGTAAATAGTCTTTTCTGTTAGGTTCAGGCTGCAGCAAGAATAAGTTTTGATTTTCTAAAAAGACAGATGGCAGGGGGCAGGGAAAGAGAGGAAGAAAGATTCTTAGCCCAGCCTACTTAGTAACACAAAAACCAGTTTTGATGAAATTTCACAGTGAAAAAAACAAGCAAACACCTGTGCTTTCTTTGCCCAACCCTGCCGCAGTGGGGCGGGTGGGGGGGGGATAAAAGAAGAAATTTCCGGGTTTTTCACAAAGTTGATAATCTACATGAAGAGGTTGATAGAGGTCTTAAAAGTATCACAGTCATGGGTGTGGGTGGCTCAGTTGGTTAAGCGACTGCCTTTGGCTCAGGTCATGATCCTGGAGTCCCAGGATCGAGACCCAGAGTCTGCTTCTCCCTCTGACCCTCCCCCCTCTCTCTCTCTCATTCTCTCTCTCAAATAAATAAATAAATAAAATCTTTAAAAAAAAAAAAGTATCACAGTCTTAGGGATTGAGTGACCCCTTGTGCGGTATTTAAATATCTGGAATGGAGTTCCTCCTTACTATATGGAAAGCAGATTATAAGGTATACCTATCTCTAAAGAGGTTTCGGTCCTTGATAAAGCTTTGGGGCCAGCAGGGATCATGCTGAAATAAATAGTTATGACCCATTTATGATTTTGAAATGCTCCAGCATAAGTGAATACAAATACAAGCAAATAAATCTAAAATAAATTCATTGAGGGTGATAGATGAAATAAAGATGGTGGAAATATTGTTTAGTGAAGCTGATGATGAGATGGGTACATGGATGATTCTTGTACTATTCACTCTACTTGGTGTGTGTTTGGAAATTATTAATACAAAAGGCCCACATACTGGAGCTCTTAACTAGTACTCCCTGGAAGAATATGAACCAAACTGATAATACTGGTTACCTGTGAAGAGAAGGGGAAGGGACCAAAATTGGGAGTGGGGTCAATGTAGCTTTAATTGTGTGTGTGTATGTGTGCATTTTTTTCTTACCTGTATAATTAAAAATTTGTATTGTAGTGATAGGCCGTCATGAAACTGTGGATGATTTAATCCAGCAAAATTTCTGATTGGGAACCTGCATCCTTCAGACTCAGACCCCAAATGGCGCAGTGGGAGATGTTGCAGAATCTCAACAACCCGTTTCAGGACCAGTTGCACCAGCTGTACTCAGACAGCCTCCTGCCGATGGACATCCGACAGTACTTAGCTGTCTGGATTGAAGATCAGAACTGGTGAGTGCCTCAGAAAGTTGGGTGCGGGTGGAATGAGGAAAGTAGTTTCTTCTGAGCCCCCAGGATCCTGGAGATACCAAGGGCAGGAAGGGGTTAGAAGGCCTCAAAAGACAGTAGCAGCCCTGCGGAGATACTAATCCTTGTTGTTCCCGGTCCCCAGGCAGGAGGCTGCGCTGGGCAATGATGATTCCAAGGCTACTGTGCTGTTCTTCCACTTCTTGGACCAACTGAACAACGAGTGTGGCCGCTGCAGCCAGGACCCTGAGCGCTTGTTACTACAGCACAACTTGCGAAAATTCTCTCGGGACATTCAGGTACTTGGAGGAGCCAGGGACAGCCGAAAAGCTGAATAGAAAGGGGACTGAGTGTAGAGGAGTATGGGTTAGGGTATGGAACAGGACCTGGAGATGTGAAGGGGTGGGGGCAGATCTGGGGAAAGGGAGGATGAGGTCTGGACTTGGGAGATCGCTGGCAGAGAGAAAGGCAAAGTCTAGATGACCCTGTTGGGAAGAGGCTAGGTTTTAGGGTACCAGTGGTGAAGAAGGGAAGAGCTAGGGACCCTGAAGGGGGAAGTCCTGGGGTCACTGGTGGGGAAGGTGTGGAGGGCTAGATCATTGAAGACAGTTGAGTTCAGTCAATTCTTTATCTTCCTACTGCAGGCCTTTCCCCAGGGCCCGACCCAATTGGCTGAGATGATCTTTAATCTCCTTCTGGAAGAAAAAAGAATTCTGATCCAGGCTCAGAGGGTTCAGTTGGTAAGAACAATTTGTAGTGATTTTTGAACGCTCCTGGAGTAGAGAGTGACCGTGGAAAGGACTCAGGAAGTTTGTCTCACAACAAGATCCCCCCCGCTACATCCTGTGATATAATTGCAGGCCTGGATTTCAGGGATGAAAGGTCAGAACTGAAATGTACTCAGAGTCTCTTATTTCAGGAGCAAGGAGAGCCAACCCTCGAAGCACCCGTAGAGAGCCAGCAGCATGAGATCGAATCCCGGATCCTGGAATTAAAGGCTATGATGGAGGTTAGTGGATGTGGCAAGAGTCGGGGTGGGTGGGGCTCAGCCTGCTGCCTCCCACAGAAGCAGCCTCATCTGGGTCTTATCCCCTCTGCAGAAGCTGGTGAAATCCATTTGCCAGCTGAAAGACCAGCAGGATGTCTTCTGCTTCCGATATAAGATCCAGGCCCAAGGTAGGAAGCAAGCACACCGAGGGGTGGGGGAAGACAGGTGCCTGCTGGGAGGCCAAGGGTGGAAGAAAGGGGAAGTGAAAAGCCCCAGGAAGCAATAATCTTCCGCTGGCTAGTACACCACACCGGCTCCAGTCTCTCTGCCAGGCAAAATACAAGGGCTGGCGGATGTTATGGAGGTTGGGCTGGAGGTGTGGCTGCGGGACAGTCGGGGGACGTTGGGGGAGATGCATGGAAAACTGCTTAGCAGATCGAGTGGGCTTTTAGTTCCAGCATGACCATTCAGAGTTCGCCCGAGGGCCCAGAGGTGCCTCTGCTTTGCTTGGTTCCCCTTCTTCTCCCTTCGGAATTCCCCCACCTGACTCTGACTGAGGTCCTGGTCAGGATGGAGAGGGGAAGGAGCCCTAGGTCTGAACCTCTGTCTCACTCCTCCTGCCATCCAGTGAACACGCTCTCTTTAGACCCGCATCAGATGAGACAG